AGGTCCAACCTTTCCATTCAACAGCCACCTACCCAGATACAAGTCTCTCTCTCTCTCTCTCTCTATTCCGCCTATCTATTATTATTATTATTATTATTCAACCAACCACTCCTCCACCTCAACCCCAACCGACCTCCCCAACCCCCTAACCACCTCCCACCCGACCGCAACCCTCCACTTGCCCCCCAAATCCGTCACATCCCCCCCTCCCCCGACCTTTACCAACAGCCTCAAGCTCGCCAGCGTGGCGATGCTCATATAAATATCATTATCCAACCCTTGTTCCCCCTCAACGATCCCATTTTTAGTCCTCCCTCCACTAGCCGGATCCCACTCTGTGCGTACAGCCATAAATATAGCCAGCATCCTCTCCAAAACAAACGCGTGCGCCCCCAGCAGCTTCCTTGCAATCTTGCGGTGTTGAGACCCGTTTTTTCTTGCTCGACCCCCGGTAAACCCACCCCGACGACGTTTACGCCCGTGGTGAAAAGTGGAAAAGAGGGTGAGGTCTGATTTAGTCGGGTTGTGAGAGGCGAGGTAGGCTGATAGAAGCAAAAAGCGGGCGGTGGTAGGGAGGAGGGTGGCGAGGTCGGTTGTTTTGATGGTGGGATTGGGGGTGGTGGTGGTGGTGGTGGGGGGAGGAGAAAGGGAGAGAGTTGGGTCGAGGAGGGATTCATCCTGGAAGTGAACCCTCGCTAGGACGATTAATTTGGAAAACTCTTTCACGGTGTGGGTTCGGGCGAGGATGGGTTGGATGAATTTTGGCCAGAGGGTTCGGCTTGCTTGGGTTAGGGAGGGGAGGGTGCGGGAGGCGGGGCGGGAGAGGGAGTCGTGGAGGGCGGAGAGGAAGCGGGTGTAGAGGTCGAGGGTTTCGGTTGGGGTTGTTGAGGGGGTGATGGGGGGGGGAGGGGAGAGGGAGAGGATGGTGATGAATTCGGGTTTGGTGTAGGTTGGGAAGTGGAGGTTGGGGGTGAAGGTTGTGAGGAGGTTGTTTGGGGGTGGGGAGGTGAGGATGAAGAGGGTTGTTAGGGAGGGGATCTAGGGGGTGTTAGTGGGTGGCTATACCAGAAGTGAGGATAGGGGGTGGTAGAGGGAGGGGCTTACAATCTCTGATAATTTTGCTAGTGCTGGGAGGAGGGTGTGAGGTGCCTCTCGTTGATGGTCGATGCCGTCAAAGACAAGGACGAACCGGAACCCGTCTGGCCGTTCGGTGTACCTGAGCATCTTGGAGAGCTCGACGGTCAACTGTGAGACTGACTCGCACCTTGGGGCGACGGCCTCCCATTCCACGGCGGCGGCCACCTTGCCCACGACTGTCTCGTACAGATGGCGAGCTGTGATACATTCTATCGAGTTGACAATGGCGTGTTTAAACGAGTCCCCGTCAAGGCTGGCCAAGAGGGCGGTTGTGATGGCAGATTTGCCTGTTGCTTCGGTACCATAGACTACCAGATTCCGACATGGTGCTGAGCTGGGCTTTGTTTGTTAACTTGGTGTTCAGATCCTAGCTCTCCTATGTGAGATGCTCTTACATTCAAAAGTGTAGCTAGTGCTCTGATCTGGGGCTCTCTGCAAGGAAACTGTTTGGTAATGAGGCTGAGCCTGAGCTCGTCAGGGAGCTCGAATATTGGTACAGTCATTGTCTGAAGTCTGCAACGGTCCCCTTCACGATCAATTGACTTTTTACTTCTAAAAGAAGTGGTAATTTGTTTGGGCTGTCGCACTAGAGATGGCCGTTACAAGGTGCCAACGCGTCGGCGCGTTTGTTGAAGGTGTCAGTGCGCTGCCAGCCCGCCTACCTAATCCCAGCCGGGCGATGGGCCTACCGTCCGGCTCCACTTGTTCCAGGCTGTCGGCTGCTGGGTGCTGTAACGCGGGTGCTTGCCAGTGCCCGGGAGCCCGAGCGTTTCTATTGGAGATCATCAATGAGAAGGCATTCACAAAATCCCAGGAATCTTCAGCACCCAACAGAGCCATGGGGTAAGTGTTTCACATAGGTCAGCAGAGAAGAAGATCGATCTAATGTGCAGAATAGATCGTAGTATTTCTCCGCGTTCCATCTCCATGGGGCCACAGGGCCACAGGGCCGAATAACTGGCCGAGTGCTATCCCTGAGATTGCCCTTCCCCAACTTTGCAGCGGGACTAGACCCAGCTGAGGTAGAATCGGTGATGTGCAGCGCCAACCGACGGAGCCTCTTGGCCTTCCCAGGTGCCGTCGTGCCGCCATGAGAATCGCGGGGCCCCAAACTTTCTCTGGCTGGCCGGATCCAAGAGAATTGATCTGCGGGTTGCAACCTCCGGAGAACTCTAGCTGGGAGGAACAAGATTCCAAGTGTCCGTTCCATCTTGAAAAAGCAACATCAAAACGTGACGATGCCCTCCACGGCGCAGACACCACTTCCAAGCAACCAACCCCAACCTCAGATTCGCCGTCTCCCCACCCTCCAACCAAAGGCCGATCTGGAGCGTGACCGTGACCGTGACCGTGAACGACAACTCCAGGAGGGCCCGCCGCCGAGAGGGGGTAGTGGACCCGGCGACGGAAACACCATGAGCTCGTCGACGCCATCAGCTTCATCGTCTTCAGCATCCGGTGGTGTGGTCGAGAAACCCTACCACGCAAAACGCCCGCACAAAAAGAGCAGGACCGGCTGTCGGAACTGCAAGTCCAGAAAAGTCAAATGTGACGAAGCAAAGCCGTCATGTCGTGCCTGTACCGCCAGGAACGATCGATGCGTGTACCCAGTCATCACACCAACAGCAACCGCCGCGGCGGGAGCTCGCAATCGCGGGGCAGCTAACAGCAGCAGCTCAGCTGTTGTTGCGACGACTCCCGCTCGCCGACGAGCTCTGGCTCCGGTTCAGGAGCCCGAGTTCATCCCCATGGAGCGCGATGACCTCGAGATGAGGCTCCTCTGGATCTACACCAACAACACTTACACGTCCTACTCCTCTGGGCCTTTCCGGCACCGCATGGTTGACCACGTCCTCAGGGCCGACGTGATCCAGCACGCCTTCGCCCACCCGTTCCTGATGAACACCTGCCTTGCCATGGCAGCTCAACACATTAACCGGGCGGGCGGCCGTCCCGACATGCATATCCCACCTTCCAAGGAGCTCACCTACCGGGTCAAGGCCCTGGAGAGCTTCAGAAAAGCAGTCGAAAAGGCCGAAGCGTCGACCTACCCGGCCCTCATCGCCTGCGCATACCTCCTCACCGGTCTGTCAACATACATGTTCCGCAACAACAACGACAGTCCAACCTCCCTCGTGATCCTCGACTGGATGACAATCTGGCGAGGCATCGGCGCCATCATCGACGTCACCAAACTGCCCACCCTAGCCCAGTCCGGTCTCCTCCCCATCATCTTCCGCCCCGACATCGACATGAAAACTTCCATCAGCCACTGCCCCGCCTACCTCCTCGACCTAGCCAACACCCAAGACCCCCTCGACACCCCCTTTCTAGCCGGCTACCGAGAATGCCTCCAAGTCCTCGGATCAGTCTACGAAGAACTCCGACGCTCCGGCCACAACAGCCACATGTTCATCTGGCGCGTCATGACCTTCTTCACCTTTCTCGGCCGAGAATTCGTCACTTCAGCCCACCACCGCCGCCCCCCAGCCCTGACCATGATCGCGCACTACCTCGCCCTCACAACCATCATCTCAGACAGAGTCTGGTGGCTGCAGGACATGGCCCCCCACCAAATCCCCCGCATCTTCAACATTATCGCCGGCATGGGACCCCCCCACACCGCTCTGGATCGAACCCTCCCCTTGGAGATCCCAATCCGCTGTCTGGACCCCATGACCAACGACGAAAGATCTAGACTTGTACTTCAAGACCCGGACTGGGTCCATCCTCCCGATCATACTGGGGAAATGCCTGTTACTTACGACAGCGCGGAAAGGGAGTACCTCAATACCAAAATGTTGCGAGGACAGTCGAGGTCTCCGTCTGTTTCTTCCCCTCCTCCGCTGAGTGCGGCGGGGTCGTCGGAACCGCCTAGCCCGCCGGCTCAGAGGAAGGAGGTGGTGGCGTTGTATACAAAGGATGAGCTGATTATCCCGCCGGAGGATGGGCAGGAGAAGGGGGTGCAGTATAAGCATTTGGAGGGGGCGTATTATGCTGTTGATGGGGTGAGGGTGACGGATACAGAGTTTTATAGGGCGATGGGGTTGGAGAGGGGTGGGGGGATGATTACGGAGATGTGAATGGGGTTGTGGTTTGGGTTGGAATATTCTTCTTTCTTTTGATACCCCCTTTTTTCTTTTCTTCTTCTGTATATACACATTATTACTTCTTTTCTGGCGAAAGGTTAACTTGGGCCAGTAGCTAATTTTGTTTAGAGGACATTTTCTTTTTTTTAAAAAAAACCCATGAATTGGCAGTGAGAGAAACGATCTATGTATATCGCCTTTATGTGTTGACCGGATTAAAGCGTCAAAAGGCAATGCCGCCGCGTGGGTAGCTGAAATTTTATAAAAACCCAACGAAGAAAGGTTAGGGGAACCCAAAAGACATAGACTTGAATATCCAAAACGTGAATCAATCATGATAAACGACCTCTCCTACCCAAGCCAAGTAAGTCTCCCTATTTCTCGGCTCGCTCTCCGTCTCGCCGCCTCCGATACCTA